AAGTGGACGCATCCGGCGTCTTTGACGACTCGGCCACTGTTCGATCTGAGATTCCTGGTGCGAATCTTGTGTAGATAAGTGTAGAGCTGATGCGCAGGCTACCCAGCTACTGCGCAACCTCCTCGACCACTGCGCATCCTCCCGCGCATAGCGGTAGCAGTCCCGGAGCATTCTGTAAACTCACTCACTTTTATAACGTGATTTTAAAAAAACCTGGGTCCTTTTTCCAAAATCTGATTACAGCGGGCTTATCTTGGGCCTATTACCTCTCGATATACGCAAAAATTATGGAAATCGGCCCGGTAGAACGCTCAAACGAACTATGACAAAAAGTATAAATTTACATTGTTTAAATGGGAGAATTCGCAACTTTACCACGTAATATAAAAAGACCTGGGCCATATTTTGAAAATCTGAAAAGAATTGGCTTATCTAGAGACAATTGCCCGTCGATAGCCGCAAAAATCATAAAAATCGGCCCGGTAGAACGCTGGAACTAAGCGTCACCAGTTTCGCAAAATTAGGAGGTCTTGGAGCTTATAGTATAGATAGAAGAGAAGAGATGGATACCAAACTCGACAATATTCTCAAATTTTGGAATTTTGACCCCCGGGGCGGCCATTTTGGGCGCCATCTTGAATTGGGGGCACCAGCATCATTTTTGGACTTGACAACATCGAAAATCGGATTCTACACGAAAAAACGAAGAGAATGATGTATCATTCAAACTTTATTACACAAGCTGCTCACAGGAGTACATCTGCAACCGCACTAGGCGTCAGGAGTTTGTCACCAGATGGTGTTTTTTGGACCACTTTGAGGGCCTAGATGAGGGTGATGGCACAGGCTAGAAGGCGGCAGACAAAGTTTTTCTAGTCACCCTGGGTATGATCTTTAATAATAGACTTGTCTGCCGAGCGTCAGGAGTTTGTCACCAGATGGTGTTTTTTGGACCACTTTGAGGGCCTAGATGAGGATGATGGCACAGGCTAGAAGGCGGCAGACAAAGTTTTTCTAGTCACCCTGGGTATGATCTTTAATAATAGACTTGTCTGCTGAGCGTCAGGAGTTTGTCACCAGATGGTGTTTTTTGGACCACTTTGAGGGCCTAGATGAGGGTGATGGCACAGGCTAGAGGGCGGCAGACAAAAATTTTCCGTTTCAGTGCATGCAAGGCTATCGATTTAGGGGGTCAAAACATGTATCCCGAGTTTGTCACTCAAAGTCGTCTGGCTCTCGGACTATACTCCGCGTCATTTCGTCACCTTCCAAGCAAAGTATCACAAGCGCCATGCGACGTTTAAAAATTTCCGCCGCCATTTTATTTCTTTACTGAGAAATTGTCGGTTGAATCTGTTTGGAAATTTCACTAAATTTTATCGGCAGCACAAAGAAAATTCAGTGAAATTTTCGGACAGCTTCGTTGAACAATTTCTCTGTAAAAAAATATAATGGCGGCGGAAATTTTTAAACGTCGCATGGCGCTTGTGATACTTTGCCTGGAAGGTGACGATTTCTTGAAAACCTCTCTGATTTTTATTTCCGTGTGAAGAAAAATCTGTACAATTTTCAAGCGATAGCGTTGGCTTTTTCCTTTGATAAGATAAAACAGGAGCGATATTTTGAAACCCCAACAGAAACTGTTTTAAAAAAAAAAAAAAAAAAAAAAAGCTGGGAACTTGTACTTCGAGCTTAGCGAGCACTTTCATACCTATACCTAGGTATGAAGAAATAAAATTCTCTGGCGCTAATTCTCCCATTTTTAGGTACCTCCTATCTCCTTTTCCTCAATTCATGCATTCTCGTCTGCAGATCCCACAACTACGCCGTGTCAAGCAAGAACGCCGTATGATCCATCAAGCGTTGCCAAATTCCCTTCGACAAATCACGAATTTTCAGGAAAATTTGTGAATATTTCCTCCCCAGTTTTTTAGAGGACTTTGTTCGTGATTTGATCGAAAAATTCTGCAAATTTCAATGATTAATATTCATAACTTTTCAGAATGTAATATCTTCTGAGGGTTAATTCGGCGACATTCGAGTGCTAATACGGCGATCTTACTTGTTAGGACGGCAGTATGCGCTAACTATCCGCTGGGTTTTCGGACGAACCGTGAAGGCGTAGTCGGAAGGAAGGAACTAAACGTCGCACAGTGGAGCGAGTCGATGGGGGAGGTCGCACAAAATTTGGAAACTTTGAAAGCTTATAACTCCGATTATACACAACTTTGAGGTTTCAAAAATGAAACCATTGGTTTCGCCGTGAAATTATCTTTTAGAAGCACCCCTTAAAACTTAAAATGTGAGGAAACGAACATGAAAATTTGAAGTTTTAGTCAAAAATTTCATGTCCGACCTCTCTGAGGCCTTGTCTCCACGGGACGTTTTCATGGGATTTTTCCCAAGTTCGAATCGCAGGAGTGAAACTTCTGGGATTTTTCCCAGTTACCGTCTCCACGGGACGGGGCTCTTTGTAGTCCTGCGACTAATTTCCGCGGGAAGATAAATTAGTTAAAGTCGAGTATTTGACCGGGATTAAAATAATAATTGCACTCAATTGACAATCAGACACATTTTTTAACTAAACAAACATGAACAATGTAGTAATGAATAAAATATCGCCAAATTCGTTTTCACTTCTTCTTCTTCTCTCAGTGGGTCCTAGGGGTACAAGTACCATACTTGGTACCGGGAAAAATATTGATTAACTCAATATTTTTCCCAACTTCGTAAGTGGGATTTTTCCCTGGGACAAATCTCGCGAAACGGCTCGTGGAGACAAGGCCTGATTGACTGGATCCACTGTGCGTCGAGACTCGGGGAACGCGTGGCCCGGGGCCAATTTTTTACAGCCCCAATCCTGCCCCTGCCCCTGCCCCTGCCCCAAGTCCCAACTCTGAATTATTCATTCGAATGCTCGACTGAGCGTAAGAGGCAGTGAACCCGATTTTGGTGCAACTCCCATGCGGCTATCATATCGACGAGACTGCATCATTTTCACACGCTAATCAGGAATGCAGGCTCCGCATAATTACTCAATCCCCGTTATCTGATCAGTCACGATCAGTAGCCTGATCATCGAAATCGATAGTGGTGGATAAAGCTGTATTTAAAGGCGGTAAAGGTCGAAACGGGTGGTTCTAGATTGCACACTAAAATTACTCACGTCAATAAATACACGGTTCAAAATAACTATTGCATTCAGCGAGGCGACTATTGATATTGACAGAAAAATGATTGACAAAGTGATGGACAAAGAAAACAACGGGAAAATGGAGCGATCGTATTGGCTCTTACGGTGATTCGTCGAGCTCAAGTGACGTGGTCGAACTGGCATGCGATGAATCGCATCGATTAGGTCAAAAATCTCGGCAGCTTTTGAATTTTTATCAAAAAAGAAAAAGGACGATAGCCCCTGCGTATAAGCCTAAAGAATCATTCTAAACCCTAAAATTGGCAAAATTCAGAGAAATGAAAGCAGAATAGTGTCAGGAAAAAACCGATACAGCTATCGGTGGCTGTATCGAATGCGAGGTTTTTTTCTTAACTCTATTCTGCTTTCATTTCTCTGGATTTTGCCGATTTTTGGGTTTAGGATGATTCTTTAGGCTCATACGCAGGGGCCATCGTCCTTTTTTTTATAAGAATTCAAGAGCTGCCGAGATTCTTTACCTAATCGATGCGATATATCGCATGCCAGTTCGACCACGTCACTTGAGCTTGACGAATTACCTGAAGTCCAATTCACACTCTCAACTTTGCATTAAACTCTTGAATGCAACTTATCGAACGAAAAGCTGGATAGTGTGATACTGACACGAGAAAACAACGATACTAATACTGATGAAAAATTGAACGGAAACTCGAATGTGACGTCAGTTTCAACTTTTCGTTCAACTTGAACGAGAACGGAGAGTAATTGAATCAAATTTTTTTGTGTTCAACTTTGCATCCACCATCCAACTTATCGTTTAATTATGCCGGATGGAAAGTTTCATAGTGTGAATTGGGCGTAAGGAATAGTTGTTACAGACAAAGGGAGAAAATGATAATACTTATGGAGAAAATACTATTTTAGAACTCTGAAATTCAGAACGCGTCAATTGAAACGTTTTTTTACTGTTACCTAAGTATTCTCGTAATATAATTTCGGGCGCTTGAGTTTTTTTATGAGAATGGCTCGATGGCCGATTCAAATCGATGATTATCTCGGCCAATGAATACTATACGCCGAGTTGGTTGTAGCGCCTTAATTGACACAACTATTCGTGTTCCACGGATGTGCGTGTTGCATACTCAAAATCGAAGGCACTTTCGCTTTTCTCACTTCCTCAGAGATGCACGGGACTCGTCCGGATCATATAGCGCTCTAAAGCGTCTAACGCATAAACTAGAGGCTAAACGATCTTTGATTGGTGTGGTCGGGACACATCACAGATCAGATCTTGAAATTTTCAAGAAATTTCGTGCAGAAATGGCTGAGAAATTGAAGAATTTGTGCCAGCTTGAGAGCCCCAGTTTGAATTTGGGCTCAACGCCTAAGAATAGAGTAATCATATTCAAGATTCAAGATATTTATTAGATACCATCACAATGGCTTAAGATTAAATCTATAGGAAACCACTTATTATGGTGAAGAGACAGAACAGAGATAAAATAGAAACCTACAGGGAAAGTTTTAACTAAAACGTTACTTATTTTATGAACGACCTTTAAGGCACCAAATATTGTCATCCATCTATATTTTCCTACTCTTTTCTAAGAAATCCGATTTCTTAAAATATAGAGCCTCTGAGCCAATAACGCCATCCAGTCTTGACATTTTCCCAGGATTCATTTGCACTTTTTTCTAATCAACTCCATTTACAAAATATGCATTTTTAACAACATTCTCAGCCTCAATTGTGTTCTTAAAGCTTTTTATTGTTTATCGGAATATTGAAAAAGTTTTTTTTTCCGAGATCAGTCCTTCATTAATGCAGTGTATCGTTTTTTTTCAGGACCCAGAATAGACAGATAAAACATGGCTAAAAAGCCTGTTTCTCCGGAGGCTCTCCACAAAGTGATCATGGTGGGCAGTGGAGGTGTTGGCAAATCTGCACTAACTCTGCAGTTTATGTATGATGAAGTAAGTTGCTCTAGTCCTTCATCCTTCAGTAGATTACTAGGGGGCTATGCCCCCTGGTTACCACGCGGCCCAACCCCCAGAGGGTGCTTCGCGTTCTCTTAGGCCCGCGTCGACAAAATAACGACCAAAAAATGAAAATATTTACATACCCGAATCTCATTTATCCACTCTCCCTCTGGCCGGTAGCAAATGGACCAATAAGAATCGAATGAAAAAATCGGCATTTATTTCAAACTTCACGCCAAGACTGAAACGGAACGGAACGGAGCGTTTCGTCGCTTTTGAATAGCCTGTATCACAGGAGCATACCTTCGATTCACTTACCCTATTAACAGACCGATTGAGCACAGGGGAGAATTTCATGAGCGCCGCCGCCCGCGACGCACTATGCTCTAAAACTCAAGGATAGGAAGAAACATGTCGGATACTAACTGAAAGATCAGGAAAGTTTCTTAATAGATGTTTTGTGAGCCGCTAATTTCGAATTTGATGTCAAATTGCCTACATTTCAACACCCTGACCTATCAATCGTGTGCACGCTGCGGCGCGGTGTGGTGCCAGCTTGAAACGCGCACTGACGCCTACAAACCTAAAGGGATACCTCAAGCATTGCGCAATGCGTGAAGTAGCCCTTTAGGTTTGTAGGTGCCAAAGCGCGTTTCGCGCCTGCAGCAGGCCGCGCCGCGGCTCTCCCGGCGGCGGGCGGGTGGTGAACGATTTTTTGAGGGGAGAGCTCCCTGGCGGAGAAACTCGTGTAACGTGTATTTTTTTTTTTTTTTTTTTTTTAATTTTCGACCTTTAAAATTACATACTGGTCGTATGAAGTATTTAGTGAACTCTCAACGCTAGATAAAGTGTAATAATGAAAGGCGAGTCGTGCGCCATGCGCGCTGTGGACAGCGCAGGGCGGCTCATGAAATTCTCCCCTGTGCTCGGTCGATTAACAGACCAAGATTCAACATTTCCTACTAAATTTCCCGCCATTTTTCATTGGCGGGAATTTCAAATTTTGACCCCCTTTCTAAACTTTCTGGTCTCCCCTAATAAAAAAAAAACCTGGTCCCTTTTTTCAAATTCTGATTACAGCGGGCTCATGTAGGGACAATCACCTGTCAATTTTCGCAAAAATCATGGAAGTCGGCCCAGTAGAACGCTCAAACAAACTATGACAAAAAATAAAAAATTGCATTGTTCAAAATGGGAGAATTCGCAACTTTACCATGTAATATAAAAAAACCTGGTTTATATTTTCAAAATCTGAATAAAGCAGGCTCATCTAGAGACAATTTCCTGTTGATAGCAACAAAAATTATGAAAATCGGCCCGGTAGAATGCTGAAACTGAGCGTTACCAGGTATGCAAATTTAGGAGGTCTTGGAGCTTATAGTATAGACTGTAGGTATTACATCATTTTACAATGGACCACAACTTAACACACAACAAGCACTGCATCATGTTTCCTTATCAAAATTTTACGCAGAATACAATGTTCAAAAAAAATTTCTGATGTTGAAAATAATTTTTAAAGGAGTTTTTATCTGTGATGTATGTATCGAAATTCTGAAAACATTCAAAATTTTTTTTTAAAAAACTGCACTCTTTATCGTGTTGCAAAATGGTTCATACACGTACCTAAACTGTTAAGATCTTTCCTCTCTTTCACATTCAGTTTTATAAGCTCCAACGTTTGTTCTTTTTTCTCAGTTCGTGGAAAATTATGAACCGACAAAGGCAGACTCCTACAGGAAAGAAGTTGTTTTAGACGGTGAAGAAGTTCAAATAGATATTTTAGATACTGCCGGACAAGAAGATTATGCAGCGATTAGGTAAGTTGTTCTATATTTTTTGTTCTAGCTGAAGCAGTACAAGGCTGAACCGGGCATTGAGAAAGAAATGATCCGCATGCTTTTGATGTGTGAAAATTTTGGAGAGAAAATTTGTCACTTAACAACACTTAAATACATTTAAATAGATAGAGGAATGTATTTAATCAACATTAGTAGGTAGAGAAATAGAAGAATATCTTTAATAATATTTAAGTGTTGTGCTAATAAAACAATTTCACATTATTCTCAATTTTCAAGCGTCATGTCTTCGTATTACATAGAGTATTTCCAGTATGAAAGGAAATATCTCGTCTAGAGCTTTCTCAAAATCTCTCAAATCCTACTAATTCTACCAACATTTTATCTCTTCTTGGGAGAACTATTGCACGAATTTTTCTGAAAATCTTAGTGTCCTCCCTTATGAGTGTTAAAAAAAATCACTGGAAATTTCATGCAATGATCAGAGTCAGTTCTCCCGTAATAAAAATAAAGTGTTAGCGAAAAATATTGTAACAATGCAATCAAGATAAGTTCCTTCAAGTGTGCTTGCAGAAGATGTATATTGAAATGTATATTGCTATCAGATGTCATGTAATTCTTTTTTTTTTTCCAGGGATAATTATTTTCGCAGTGGAGAAGGGTTTCTGTGTGTTTTTTCAATAACTGAAGATGAAAGTTTTCAAGCTATACAAGAATTCAGGTAATTCAAAATTGTTGGCCTAGCTAAGCTCAGCAGTGAAATTCCAATTGATGATCCAAGTGCTCAGAAGTTTTTTTTCTCTTCTCTACTTTATCAGCACTTCAATATTGCGCTTGATAATCTGTGTATTGGCTAATATACAGATACACGGAATAATGGTATCAAAGTCTTCACAATAAAATACCATAGATTCTTGAAGGGTGCAATCATGAACCATGAATTTAGCTTGATAAATTAGTGATGATGAAGGTCTTTTTTTAAAGCAGCTTATTACATAGTTATTTTTGGTCAGTTTTTAATTTGGCATCATCATTTGGATGGCGTCTTCAGAAAGGATACCCGATAACATCTTCTGTTGTCAGATTTAATTGTACAATTTATTTTGTTAAACTGGACGATCATACAGATTCTGTTGCAAGCAAATCTCTGGGAATTTACTTTGTGCCTAGAGGAAATCCTCTGAATTTTCCAAACTAATCAGTACAACCTTTTCTCTTGTAAAAAACTAATTTGACCAATGAAATTTGGCAACTCTTGTCATCATTTGGTTCCTTCACGAGAAACACTGCCCTATTTCAATCTTCATATCTGAGTTAGATAATCTGACTTCTGAGTCAATGTTCTAATCTGTTGAGTGTGAATGGGAATGGATTTCCTAGCAGCATTTTGAAAAGGCATTGTGTAATAATGTGCCTTCTGTCATACATTTTTCATCAGCTTATTCTAAAAGGTCACTTTTCTGAAATGCATTTTTTTCTATGAATTTCAAGATTTTTTAACCTTGGCAGTTTTTAACAAATATTTTTTATGTTATGTTTCAGGGAACAAATTTTAAGAGTAAAAAATGATGAAAACATTCCTTTTCTCTTGGTGGGAAATAAGGGTGACCTTCAGGACAGAAGAAAGGTATCATATGCAGAAGCACAAGGACGTGCCCAGCAATGGGGTGTACCTTATGTTGAAACCTCAGCAAAAACAAGAGAAAATGTAGACAAAGTAAGTACTTCTGTCTAATTATATTATGGCAAAAATCTAATCAAAAGGAATCTTCTTATTATGATTCAGATTCTATTGGAGTGAGAGATTAAATTAGGGGCTTGGAGGACAAGGCGCATAAGAGCAGTTTTTGCTGTTATGAGAAATACGTGCTTGAAGTTTCGAAATTACATAGATTTTCATGGTGGAAAGGAAGATCACTTTTTGATGCTTAAAAATTGGAATCGGGGAGTGAATTTTTCACGGAATATGCATTAAGATTAGTTTGATTTAAAATCATTACTACGTCAATTTTTTCAAAAACTGCATTTATGCGCCTTGTCCTCCAAGCCCCTCAAATATAGTGAAAGCTCGCCAAGTCTAGTCGTCTGACCAAGAGGATTTTGACCTGAGTGAGATTTCGTCATTGCCAATTTGCTGCATAACATGGAATAAGCGCACATTTTTTAGCTTAACGGGAACTTGACATCAATGAGCTCCAAAATCAAGTGTGGTCTATTGCAATAAATAGGTGGCCAGCAATTAGTTTTTTAGGTGTTTCTTTTTCAAATTTGTTTAATTTTTTCAAGTTTTCAAAAATAAGTTTTGAACTCCCAAATTTAAAAATACATTGAAATAAAAATCTAGCTTGCATGTAATTTTAGCAGCAGACTTCATCTTCAGCACAATTTTAAACTGGAACTTGGTCTTGCCAAAGAGTTGAGTTGAGTGTTGCAATTAAAGGTTCTTGAATGCAGGAGGCACAAGAACACTTTTGCGATTTTGAAAAAATTGAAATTTTCCATCACCCATTTTTTTTTTAAGTAAATATTTATTGGATATTTTCTAAAAATTTGTCAGCGGTTAAATGTTTTACACATTTAACCCTGAGAGGTCGTTCATAAATTACGTACTGATCGGGGGGGGGGGGGGGTGTGTGTGGAGGTGAGGTCGAGGAGAGCATTTCGTCATTTTGTTTTTATGTGTTAAAGGGTAGGAATATATGAAATGAAAGCGTTACCGAGGGGAGGGGGAGGTGTGTCAAAAAATGCCTAAAAAGTGCATTATGTAATTTACGAAAGGCCCTCATAGAGGTGTCTTAGAAGAGAATAAAATCTCGAGTGATGCAAAATTTCGTCTCGGGACGTTTCGAGATTTTATTGTAGATCCGTTCAACCTTTTTTCCCCTAATATTGAGCTCTTAGCGTGCTATATGCGTGTCATTGCATGTGTTTTTACTTTACAAACAAAGGAAAAAATAGGGGAAAGGGACCTCTAAGTGCCATTGTATGATAGTCCTTTTGGTAGAGAAAGGTCCCTATAAAATGCACAGAATATGGTACAACAAGGAAGTGTGTTCAAATTCTCGCGATACAAAGCTGTCAACTGATCAAGCTAGGTTTGAATAACAAAGTCCTATTTCTATTTACTTCACTTGTTGTTGCCTAAACAGTGGGTGAGATGCGCTGGTCACAGAATCAAGTTTTGATGCTTAATTCTTGTGGATCTGGTAAAAATGATAAGATCTTTCCGAACAGGAACTTTCTGTGTTGAGTATTAACCGATATACTGCACTTTGAAAAATTCTGTTCATGACGTCATCCACCATGGTAATGACACCCTTGATTTCTTCCACCTTAATTTCATCAGTCAGGAAGACACACATTTGCACTAGTTACTCAATGTGAAAGTTGGATGAAAGCAAGGTGAAAGAAACCAAGGGTGGTACTAATATGATGGATGATGTCATGAACCGAATTTTTCCGAGCGCGATATCTCGGTTAAAATTGAACAAAGATAGTTCCTGTTTGGACAGATCTTATTATTTATAGCTGATCCAAAAGAATCAAGCAATAAAAAACAATTCTGTGACTAGCACAACTGACCCTTTGACTCCCAAGACTTTTTCAGTCTCTGATCCCATGAGGCCAACCTCGGTCCACAGGGGCTAGGGTTATGTGGGCTGCAATTTGGTAGAGTCCCTATATACTGAAAGTCAAGTCAACGTCCCTTCATAAAGTCACAAACGGGAATAAAGATTACACAAATTAAAAGTTTTTCGTAATCTTTGATTGGCTCATTCTCAAATTCCTTTCTCCGTTCCTTCTTTCATTCCGTTAGTTCCTTGTCAAACCTGTTATTCCTCGGTCAATTCTAGATTATAATCTTTGCAATCAGTAAAAATGTAATCTTTATTCCCGTTTGTGACACTGTGGAGGCCTAAAATACGGGAACCAATCAGAAATGGATTCACATTGTCTTGACTCTCAGTATTAAGGACTCTACAATTTGGTAGTTTCCATACTGCTGCTAGTACTCTCTGTCCACCTGTTGTGTAATTTATGCTTTATTACAATGTTCTACAGAGTGCTCTACTGTCGTTCCATCTCTATCTCAATGTTTCTTGCTATTTCTCTGAGTGTGTCAACTTACCGCTTTCTTAATGCGTCTGTATGGCTATAATTTACAGGCTAGCATGGCAGTCAATGTGTTAGCTATGTGTTATAATTGTATCGACAATCAGATTCTTTAAATTTACTCTGAACCGTTCTTTTTTCAGGTGTTCTTCGATCTGACAAGAGAAATCAGGTCACGGAAAATGGAAGATACCAAAACAAGTAATGGGGGTGGCAAAGATAAAAGCAAGAGGAAGAAACTAAAGTGCATTATACTATAGACTCGTGTATATTTTATATAAACCTATTTTAATCATTAATAATGCATTATAATGATACGAACAAAACAGACTGCCACTCTAAAGCATGCTCTGAATTTATTTATGTATTTATTTTTTTTGTATTATTTATTTCATTTTGTTTAGAGAAAAACTTTTTGTAAAGTTAAATTAATTTGTTTAAAAGAAATGTGTAAGCAAGGAAAAACTCTCCATGATTTAAATCAACTTTCTATGTCAATCATCTAACTGATTAATGGATAACGTATGAACGGATAAACAGACAATGTTTATTATCTGGAGACTGGTGCCCACCTTTTCCTCTGTCTTGTAGAATTTCTGTCGCTTCATCCACATTATTATAAACCATATTGTAGGAAACCGTGTGGGCATTCTTATTATGTATGACAATGGCTGGCAATCTTATTTTCCTGTCATTATATTTATTGTAAATGAGCTCTTGAAAATTGAATTTTCGTCATAATCTATTTAAACAGGTATATTTTGTTTTAATTTATATATTCTTCAAATTATGAATCCTTTTACATTAATTTTTGAAGATTTTTCCTGCATTTTCTTGCTTTTTTCCTTGCTTTTTTTCTGTATTACAGAATATAAAACTGAAGTTTTGAGGTAGAATTCATCCAGCACTCTTGTTCGGAACACTTCAAGTTCAGTTTTATTCTTAAACTCCATGCTGGCATAAATATGTAGTATTAAATTTTTCTTCTCTGTTAACAATATTAAATGTAAGATAACTGCATCATTAAAAAATCATGTACCATCAGGTAGCCAACTGAGGACCATTACCAGTCTAAGGATGTTGTTTCTTCAGGAAAGAAGGAAAACAGCAAAACATACGGTAAAGATGTCTGTTTTTCAAAGCTAGTGTAATGTGAGCTTTGAAATTTGAACTTTCTTTACAAATTACAATTTGATGCAAATATAATTGGCATGATATGATCTCCAATCTTGCTCTCAGGCACTCTTTAGTACGCTTTGTATCTTACTGCTATCCTACAGGTAGCCTATCACAGTAAGATTTCTTTTTTCTTCTTGTTTATTATCTTTGTATTAAAAAATAAATCCGTGCTTTCTGTGTACAAATTGTAAAAGTTATCCTAAAGTCGCCAAAAACTATTCCTTCCAAAATTCATTTCACTTCGATAATACTACAAATGTTTTTTTTGAGGGAGCCCCTCTTTTTTATCACTGTGAAGTCTTCAGAACCAAAATAACATGTTAATGGCTTATCTTATTCTATTGAACTGGAAGTATTTTGACGCCGTATTTTATTTTATTGTACTTTTGTACTGCTTCAAAATTTCCAGCACCCCTCTTACCTTCTTTTGTACTTTTTCCACCAATTTAGCAATTGTTTTTATATACTTACTTCCCTAATACCATTCCTATTATTAATTGTAAATAACAGGCCACTTTATTGATCCACCGTAATCATGAGTCTTTTTCAAAGTCAGCAGGCTGCAAAATTGAAATTGATAGACAAAAAAGAAAAATTAAGCAATCCTCTTGTCGGAAGCGGGTGGTTGCAATAGAGGAAGATGATAAGTAAAAGACTAATTAACACCAACCTGTGAGGATTCCTATAGCTAGTCCATAATTTTCCCCCCTAGTCTCTGACAACATTTACAACCACCCGTTTCATCACTAAGATCGCTCCTTTTTCCCGTCATCTTCTTTAACTTTCGCTTTGTTTATCAATTTCAATAATCAGCCCCCAGAAGAAAAAAAAATGTTTCTCAATGAAGGCATTCAAAACTTTCATGATCAGTCTTAACTAAGATTAATATTACAATGTCAATTTGTATAACACCTGCTGTGTCTCAAGTGCTGTGCCTGAAATATTGAGAAGGGTTATCGTTGATTTTGACAAATTCTTCACTTGGTATCTTCACTAAACTGCTGCTGAGCCAGGCTTTTGAAACTTTGAACAAATCATGGGTTATGGCTTAGTAATCTTTTCACTAGCATCCAAGACTCATGAGTGATCAGTAAATTAGTCTCAAATATCATTATCACAAAAAGTTATATTAGTTGAGTTGTGTTGTATGTTCAATTGTGAAGGACTTGACAGTTCCGCACACTCCTTGTCGCAGATGGTTCGATCATATAATCGTTGTTTGGATCCCGACTTCTACTTCGCCAATTTTTTTCCCTGCAACTTTGGAAAATTATTTTCATACAGCCCCTTACTGGTCATGGACTGTTCATTTTTGTATCAACTTCATGGTGATCTTTCGATAAAACCTATACTGCATTCTGTTATTATGTCTAATATTGCATCAGCCAAAGTATGCTCACTTGTCTGTTATACAAATTTGTGATATTCAAGGCTTTAATTCGGTGACTTTCATTTTGAAACAATCATGTAATATTTCTTTTTGTGATAGTGATTCCAACGTCGGTTCATTACTTGCCTAAAACTTATTCAGGCACTTGTGCCAAAGTACATCTTGTACCTTGATCTATCTAGTTAATAAACTCTTTAGTACATCAGTGTGAACTTGGAGGGAAAATGATGGACAGAATTTGAGTAGTGGTTAAAACTACCCCTACAAATGACCAATGCGACATCCCGCCAAGAGGACATTACTGAGAAACATCATTCAAAGTCTCATTTCACAGACACTTGTACAAAAAAGTTGCTCTTAACCAGGTTTTCTATGCACAAATGCACCCCAAGTCGCACTGATGTTCAGTCGAATACCAGATTAAACTAAGGAGAACTATTTCTACTTATAATTAAGGAATGCTTAGACTATTGAAACATCCTTGTACTATTTTAACTTGTATTTCTCTCCCTTTTTTTTCAATTCTAATGTGATTTAATTTCGTCAGAATCTTATTTCTACCCAAATTAAATATAAATATTTTAATGAAATTCGAATATTTCTCTCCGATAGAAAAATCCTCATCAAGAAAAAGTTCAAGGACCTTCATTCTCTTTACTTGTTTCCCTTCTTCCTCAGCATCCATTTCATTGAAGGAGATATTCCTTCTTTCTAGCAGTTTTTAGAACTCTTCAAATATGCTTGCACTTAATTAGGTGTGTCCCACTTGCAGCGCTGGTTAAAACTTAAATGGAGAATTTGCATGCAAATTTCGTATTGCTTCATCTGAAAGTGGTCTAAAAGCTGATTTCACAGTATTTTTTATAATTTTTTTCTGATAAGGGAAATGATATAAAAATAGACTTAAAAGTGAGAAAATGCACTGCCTAGTGACGTCATCTGGCAGCATTTCCCATTTAAACACATGTTTTTTTGCAGATTAGATCATTTTGTCATATCTTCTCCAATAATTGTTTAATTCATGAACCAAAGGTATTCTCGTGGCCAGTTCACTCAGTAGTTTCCACTTAAACACGAAATTCATCAAATTTCAGACTCCTGCAAATTCTCTATCGCATCCCTTAATCAAAGTGCTTTTCTCCCTCATCTTTCCTTATTCGCTTACGTATCCCTTTTTCCAGTTTTTGTCATATATTGTGTTCTCTCTGTCTCTTATTCATGTTATTGAACCTGTATATTTGCGTCAATCCTCTATCAAATACAATTGAACTTCATTTTGAAATTAGGAACTACAATTTCTGGCTCATTCGTAAAAACATTTATGTGCTTAGGGAAACTAATGATACAAACGCTGTTTCTAAACTGAGCTAGAAATTCTAGTTTCTACTTGCAAAATGTCGTCCAGTTATAGGCTCGATGCTATATCAGCAGTGAAACAGCAGGAACGTGTATCTGCTACATTGTAGACTTTCTTTTACTTAATTTTTTAAATGGAAAAATACTCTAAGTCACTTCTCAGAAACTTCTCTGATTTTTCGTCTTCACACCAAGAATAATCTTTGAAAATTTCAAGCGACAGCGTTGGTTTGTTCTCCTTCAAGAAAGTAAAATGGGAACAGAGATTTTAGAACATGGGAAACTAGACACGTGCTCCTGCAGTTTCATTGTCAACATGGTGTATGTTTAGTGGAAGCACCTATTAGCAACTACCATTCTAGGGTCCTAAGCAAAGCAAAAAGTCTGAATCCTATTGAGGCTAATGCTGAATACCTTTGGGCTATGTCCTTTTCTTTCCATTATTTTTGTGCAGAATTCTCCTAACACTTTAAATACCAGTGCACTTAATTCCCCCTACTTCATGTTTGTAATTTCAAGTGCCATGCGAGGACTAGAAGTTTCTCTGCCCACAAAGGGTATGAGATAGTTAAACCAATCTTATCAGTGACCTGAGTATCAAAATACCGTTTAATTGTTTTTATTTTGCATTGATTTCCAAAATAAATAGTACGCATTTCCCCTGTACATATAATGTATGTTTTGCATGATCACAAGTGAGAATCTGCTTCCCTCTTGAGTTAGGATATATTTCTACATCAAATTACCCGTCACTCAGAATTTGCTATGTACACGAGCCTTGTTATTAGCATCCCGATCTTTCTCAACGGTTTCATAAATCGAGGTATCTTGAAGCGAAGTCTATTTTGCTTCAAATGCCTCAATAGGTCAGTTGCACTGGTCACAGAATCGTGTTTTGATGCTTGATTCTCGTAGATCAGTTAAAAGTAAAAAGAACTGTCCAAACAGCAACTCTCTACATTCAGCATCAACTGAGATATTGCGCTTTGAAAAATTCGCTTTATAACGTCATCCACCGCGGCAGTGACACCCTTGGTTTCCTCCACCTTGCTTTCATTTGAGTTTACGTTTAGGAACCAGAGCAAATGTGTTTCCCTGACTGATGAAAGCAAGGTGGAAGAAATCAAGGGTGTCACTAATGCAGTGGATGACAGCATAAACCGAATTTTCCAAAGGGCGATATCTCGGTTAATATTCAACCTAGAAAGTTGCTGTTTCCGCAGATCTTATTACTTCTAGCCAATCTGTAAGGTTCAAGCTTCAAAACACAATTTTGTGCCCAGCAAAACCGACCCATTATGCGTGTGGAGAAATAATCACAACTATTTATCTCCACCAGGATACATGGAATCAGCATTTTAGTGAAAAATGAGGCAAACCTGTGTTAGTATTCCACTTTCTCCTTGTTCCATCCAAGTATTTCCGATACTACTTGTAGAATACTACTTGTAGAATACTCATTCTTTTGCTTCTTGATTTCATGTAAATGAAACACCAGAGAAAAATGCAAAAAATGGAATTCCCAGAGGAGGCGAACTGAAGCTTTTTTCTCCCAGTTTCTGTGTTAGTTGCAGATTATAGTGGTCCCTGTATCAATATTGACTTTTTCTGGGGTTTTTTTTCCTTTAAATTTGCTGATTAGCTCTCTGTCTACCTACTTTATAAAAATGCACACAATTGATTGTTTTAATGCTGTTTTGATTTCTGCATTTATTGTCTCAATGTATCGTTCAGGTCTGAGTCAGGGATTTGTAAGTACAATCCAAAATCATGTTCTTAATTCTAAGTTAGTTTGGGTCCTCAGGGAGGAAATTATCCCTTTATCTCTTCCCAGTAGTAAATAACAAAAAACTTAATTTATAAGGATACCCTGTTCCCCTGCACACAATATGTTTCATCTGTTTCGTAATTTTCATTAATTATTTGCAGGGTCAGGTGTATTTACAAAGATATAAAAAATTGCAATTTCTGTATGCCGATTGTATTATTAATGATTCTGAAGTTCTGAAAAAAGAAAAAATGTGCGTTCGAACCATTATCCTGAGACAGAGCAACAGAATGGATATGTTTTCCTCTGTGCTCACTCGTCAAATTTCAAAGATCAGATTTCTTCATTGATTTTTATGCAGGTTTTGAATCCTGGAAAGTCAATTATTGTATTTTTTTAGCTATGAAGTTACTGAAGCTTTGCACAGTTTAAGACTAGCTTATTGACAGAGCACAAACTTTTTTTGCTTTTACCTTAAAAACTACAAGAATGAAGGTTTTAAGAGAAACCAAAGTATAAAATCTCATTTTTTGCAGCAATTTCAGGGCTTGCTTTTCCTTCACTTAAATTGGAAGAACTATTTTGTATCCATGTATAAAGTTCAAGTTGTAAACTTTTCTCCATAATGAATGAAGAGAAAAGTACAGTACAATAGTCAGGGTAGGTATAATATTTGTTCTGCCAACAACCACATGTATAAAGAAGATATTAATATCAATTTTCAAACAGACGAATCCTGCAGGTTCAAGAGACTTCATTTCTCAATCATTTGACCTTAATGTGGCGTGAATAATCTGACTTATCTACTTGATACCATTGTATACTTTCAGTTTATCTTTAATTTTTCTTAGTTTTGTCATAGTAAGGATGCCGGCTATGTTACGTACTTTTATTATTATCTTCATAATTCATTGTTATGCAGATTTCACCATTCTTGCCGGTTCTTGACGAGAAATTATTTTTGCCCGTCAATGTGTGTTTTCTTTTTATTTGATGATCTGATCAGCGAGAAATCAAAGAAAGATCAATACCTAAATCCTCAGAATTGTCTCCTCCACTTGAATTGTATTCTTTTCAATAGAAATTGTAGACCATGTGTACCTAAATAAGGAGGTGTTCTGTTGGATACAGAGCTTTTAGAATTTTTGTATTTCTTTATTCTCTTTTACAGTAAAATTCTGTTGAAAAAACGAAGAATTAGGCTCCTTATTTCTCTCAAAACGACTACATCTTTACCTCGTTGCTGTCAATTTTATTAATACATATTTTGAAAATTTTGTGAAAATGGTGTAGAAAGTACATAACACAACTTCTTATGCTATTATCATCACCTGTCCTATCTTCACAAGTTAAATAACAAGTGCTGTTGGAGAATTTTCCTGTAAATAATTATTTAGTTTTGTAGAATCTGAGACAGGAAGTTATGAGACATGCATTCTCGATTTAAAAGTACAGGATGATTCATGGTTAAGTGGAAAATGGATTTCAAGTAGCTAATCAACTGCACAAGGTACAAGATTAGGTTCTGGTGAAATCACTATTATTTTACTTTTAATAAGTTTTGACACTAGTTTAAACCATTGTTCCATCAGAAGAAGCATCAAAAGTAACAAATAATTATCTCTCTTTTAATACCTAGCTGTCGCTTGGAGATTTTGCACCCCCTAAGCGTCCAGCCCACGTACAAACCAGGGGCTTTGAAGAGGCTCATTAAAGGAACTGTTGACTGTTGCCTTCCAAAGATCGCCCGCCCGACGATCTTTGAAGGTGCCCGTGCTCAAGACACATCGCGGATCGGATCTTAAAATTTTCAAGGAATTTCGTGCAGAAATGGCCGAGAAATTGAAAGTTAGTGCCATTTTGAGAGCCTCAGTTTGGAGCTTTAAACTATCCTAAACATGAGTAGATAGCTCTGAAAATGACCGTCGGTTTGTGATTTTAATGTATTTACATTTATTCATGTTGCCACAATGTTACAAAAAAAAATTACTCTTTAAAATTGGGAGGAGGGGGGGCTCAATGGTTTGTGGAAAAATAGGGAATTTGACCACAAAAGAGACTTACTCTGATTCAAAGTATCGACTTTTTTTTTAAGTCTTTGCACATCATATGGCTAGAAACAGGGTCCCCACCAGATAAGCTTACGCACTTCTAGACTGCGACAGAAGATCCTCGGACATCACTTTTACATGTAAAGTAAGCGCAAGGAGCAAGGCAGCGGATCTTCCTGCTGATCTCTTGCTCCTTGCGTTTACTTCACATGTAAAAGTGACGTCAGAGGATCTTCCGTCGCAATCTAAAAATACGTAAACTTATCTGGTGTGGACTCTACATAACCTTGCTAGGCACTCAACTTCGAGGTAGATGGCGATACGCTTTGTTGTAAGTTGAGTTTCGAGAACCCTGAAATATATGTGCATACTTTCATTCGAATCAAGTTGACAGAGTTGAAGAACACCTTCAATGAATGAACTCATTTAAACTGAAAAAAAAATTATCTATTTATTGCTTACACACACAAAGAAAAGGAATCGGCCAGAAACAAGAAATCTACAAACAGCATAAAAACTTACAAAAAGAATTTCACTAAGATACATGAATCTATAAACACCTAACTAGTTAGTTTTATCACAGATGATTTTAGGGAGCATCTCAATTGGACTGCATTTGCAAATAAAACCTAAAATTCCTGACTCCTGCTAGAAAAAGCGTATCGACAGCCAAAGTGCAAAACCATGTAACTCTATTGCGATGTTTCAAAATTTCTGCTTCTATTTTATTTTATTTTATCGAAGAGAAACAAGCCAACTTTCTCTGTGGTTTGAAATTTAAACAGAATATTCTGCTAGCACTGAGGAAAAATCAAGGAGGTTCTCAAGAACCCAGGTTAATTAGCTTTCCTGTGAAAAAATAAAGTGTGATTGGAAGTCTGCAACATTACAAACAGAGATATGTGGTTTTGTACTTAGGACATCGATTTATCCTTATAGTTTCCAATGGGAATAGGTGCTTCTAAGGATGGGCCAGGAATAGGTATTTTCCTTACTGCGAAATGTTGTCCAATTCACTGAGCATGAATCCCTTGGAACCTAAACAAAACTCAGCTTTTAAAGTTGCAGGACATACCTGCATTGCTTCGAGGAAGGATTAGGACTATATTTTGCTATAGGGAACTACTATTTCTGGTTCAGTTTGAAAGCAACGTATGTACCGGTAGTTTCTCTAGGCAGATAGGAGCTTCCATAGGTCAGCAGGATATAATAGTTCGTTACAGCAAAATCTATAGTCCAATTTGAATTCCCAGTATTGCCTCCTCCTTCAATGGATCAAACACAGTGACTGTGCAGTAAAAAGGGAAAGGACGATTTTACAGGGTGCGATTTATCTTCCTCAAAAGAAAAACCCGTCACAATCTTCATGCAATTGGGTATGGGGACGTGAATAATTAATATTTTATACTTTGACTCTTAGTCAAACTAACTTGTCTCATCTCAACAGTAAAACTATGAAAGTTTTAGTAACTGAAGATTTTTAACAAGTTAAGCACAGGAACGGGGATTCAACTTTGGTAAAAAATTAAAGCGACAGATTTACTCGGAATCACCTGACTACATCAGCCACAGCCTGGCAACATTGCCAGTGGCGAGGCGTGAATGATCGAATTTCTAAATTTTCCAAATTGAAGCTATGGTAAAGAATCGATCATTAAGGTGTTCATTGCGAACACCCTATTCATCGATCCTTTTCTATAGGTTTAAATGGCAGATCAAGCGATATACTCGTAATCAGGCAAGAAGAATGAATATCCATTTTGGAATAAGTCTTTCTTGCAAATGATGTTTATCCTCAGATACTTCCTTAAATTCATTTTCCGCATTTCTTTATGCTTAAAATCCATATGCTGTCCGTTCTTAGGCAAAAAGGGACAAAAGGCATGCTACTTTTTCTTTGGAACAACTAAGAAAACAGAAACGAGAGGAAAATCAAGATGTAAGAGCGAAGTACTCCTTCCCATTACATTTTGTGTTGGAGTAAAACTGCCGTAATGAGCTTAGAAAAAAAGACCACTCAAAACATTGACAGAATCTTTTGCACCTGCTTTCCAAAATCATTTGAATGTATAATTTTGCAGTCTACTGATGAATTGTTCATGTGGACTTTTCTTCCATTTCAAGATTACATCCTGATTTTGTAAGTGCTCAACTTCCTACTTAAACGGCACTTTGCAAAATACTGACGGTAATGTTCAAGAATGAGAAAAATGAAAATTCTATCATTACTCTCCTGTGAACTTCTCAACATTTTGTGTGGAAGGAAAAAGTGCCGGAGGTGACTTCCGGGAATAAGACTGTTGACAGAGTAAATACTCAAACTGACAAAAACAATCTACCGTCAGTTTGGTCCTTCAAGTGTACTCACATAAATGACCACAACCAGTCGGACAAACTTTGTTTGTTTCGAGCCACTTTTGTATGTGCTCCATGTGCCCACCATGCGAGCATCCTTGGCACCATGCATACAAACCCTTTACAACTCTGTGGCACAAAGCGCAGATAGCACTGTTTGCGGTGTGACACCGATCGCACAACCAGCCACTGCGGATCAAGGGTTTGTCGCACTGACCGCAGCTAGTGTGGACTGTTGTCGATTGCTGGTTCAGTTGACACACGCTCATAATCCATGATAACTGGATCACCTGCGGAAAAAAATATTTCATACAACATTGGTGTGATGCATCTTATCAGAGTTTCAGGAAGCTTACTGGAGGTTTTGTGTTTCTTTTTTACGTGAGTTTTACATTCGACAACTGCAAGGTTCCTCAGCACAACCTACTTGGATAAGACTCTGATAATATCGATAGAACACTCCAAATTTACATTGCCTAACTTCTTCTCATGCTTCTACTTTTCCAAAAGAAAAGTAAATTGAATGTTACCTTGAAACTTCCTGCAAAATTCCCTTTAATCATGGAAAATATATTTACAAAGTTTTGAAATAGAGTGATCCTACATTTTCTTGTAAAAAATTAAACATGAGAAGAAATTAGGCGACCTAAAGCAAGGGAGTCCTATTGATACCATCAGAGTATTACCTGGGTTCCTTTCCTTTTCTTTCACTTAGGATTTACGTGGGGCTGATTTTAGGTTAATCCATCCAATTCTGCCGTGCTAAGGAAAAATGCTGGATGAACATTCAAGAGTTGCCAAATTTCCTCCGCTTATATGTTCATTCTTGGAAAGAATTATGAATATTTTTTTTAAAATCTTCAGATAATTTAGATCTGATTGCAAATAAAATACTATGAAAAATTGGAGGAGAAATATTCACAAATTTCCCTGAAAATTCGTATTTTATCCAAGGAAATTTGTCAACGCCTGAAAGATCATGCGGCGTTCTTCCTTGGCACAGTAGAATTGTACTGCAGAAGCTAAAAACACACAACAGACGTGGGTGCAAAAAAACTTTTCAATCTAAAAAACTGACAAACAAGGCTACAGGGTGATACGTGAAATGCTGCGGGTCTCCGAACCATCAAACTTAATATAGGATGTCTGTACCTGTGTTGCAACATCCCACAGCTTAAATCGTGTCAACATGTCGATGTATGCTAACAACCATTGTTCTTGAGTTGATTCATCCAGTTCCGCATTATTGATCAAACTTCGTCTCTTCTCTCCTAGGGCGAGTAAAACAGATGCTGACGTTTGGATATCGCCTTGACTGGCATGATGCTTCAAGGCAGCAACAACAACATTACTTGGGTCCCAGTGAGGTAGCCTTAGACACCAGGATACACAAAGAAGAGAAGAGGGTTGATCTTCCACTCCCAAAGCGGTGGCTTCTGTAAAAACAATCAAAAGTGAAAAAAAATATATTTTGTGAACAAAAGCAAAGAAAACTATGCTTATGGTGAAGTCCATGGATAACTTAATACCTTAGAACTAAGGAACTTGAAAGAAGAATTTTCGATACCGAGAATGTCTGTCAAAATGATGTTGATGATAGATAACTCTCTCTCTTGAGTTTCTCATGTGGGTGTTGCTTTTGCAACTTAGATTGTGCCGGTTAAAGATGCACTCATCCTATTTTTTTCCATACATTATTGCGTTTTGCTACATTAACTCTGCATTGTCAATGTCGATGTCCTCTCCACTTCATTCCTAAAATATTCTGCTTTCATTTTTCAGTATACCCGGAGCGAACAGGTAGGATAAATTCCCATGAAAATGCCTACTAGAAAACTTTGTCTGTAGAACAGGGTGACAAGTTCTTAAAAAGTTATTGAATACCTAGAGAATTCAGGGAAATTTGCAGCAGAAACTTGATGTTCTTTTTTAGAGCCAAAATACGCTCCATTGACAAAAATTGGGACTTCTATTTTTTTCTCTTTTTTTCCCCACAATTTATTTGGCTTCTATTCTTTCATTAGGTTAGGAATCTGCAGCTGTCTATAGACATATGTGAATGGAATTCAAGAGGCTTATCTGTGCTTCAGGCTTTTCAAATTTTTAGGGATTAAGGCCGAGTAGAATCTGTTTCTGCATATCCACTCATCTGTTCCTTGAAAATTTGACGCCAACAAGATTTGAATCGGGGACCTATTGAATTAGAGTCAGACATGCTGACCACTAGGCCAACCTGGCTAGACTCCTTCCTTTCACTTCTCAAATTTTGAATTTTTTCAGTTTTAAGAGAGTTGGCGCTAATTTTTTTCATGAGAAATTATGCAGGTAAAAACATTGAGAAAGCCTGAAATCTAAGAAAATTGGTAATTCTGTAGAATTTTATGAATAGAACTTAGGAACATAAAAAAAATTACCATCATTAAGATCCGGGGAGTCTGAATTAGGAAACTGCTCTGGCGGAGGTGAGCGGTCTTGAAGCTCATGTCGAAGAGCGAAAGCCTCGGTCGGTAACGTCCAATCCGGCTGTTGAATATCAATTCTATCTGTTGTAGTTACGAGTCCACCGGTTAAACCAATGTTACCTACGCGTTCAAAGTCGATGCTAAGTGGATCCATCTCAGAGTCGCCGAAGAAGAAGTCACCAAACGACACAGCAGGGTCTTCTGCTAACTTGAGCTTTTCGTCTTCCTCGTTTTCGTAGTCATCTTTTTCATTGTTGGGTGTTTTGTTGACTTTCTTTTCAATGTCACCAGCTTCATCCTTCTTATCACGATCAATGTGGCCGGTCGACATGGTTGCACTCTGAGCATCTTCTCGAGAAGGAGTCTGCTGTCCAAAATCGCCTACTTTGGTTGTGTAAAGAGTTTTAATTATACTCCAAACTATGCTCACCTGTGAGGATTAAAACAAAGTTTGTAAACTTAAAAATGCTATATGCTAAAAATCGTATGAAATATTTTCCCTCAATTTTTAAAGGATCCAGCGACTGAACACAGTCGTTAAAGTGACGCAGTGGAGAGTAGATAGAAGGCATTTGCAAAGACTCAGCGTCAATACAGATAGGACCAATAGACAGAGAGAGAAATTAGGAGCTTGGAGGACAGGGCGCATAAGTGCAGTTTTTTAAAAAATTGAAATATTCATAAACTCGACTAAAACAAGTTTCAGCTGTTGCTTCAAGTCAATAGGTTAAATTTTGAAACTTCTCTTACATCGTTAAAAAACGAAAAAAAATTACCCTTATCACTTACATTAGTTTTTCCTAGATCCTTGGCAACCGCTGCATTATGATCACATAAATCTGCCAGGGGTCGTCCTGTTAACAAATACCTTTGAGCACACAGCAGGAAAGCATTATCTCCTTTCAAGCCTAAATTACTCTTTTTGAAGTAACTTAAGCTGCTATTGGCATTGACAAAGTCATCACTAGTTGCTGCATTCCGCCTGTAAAAATGCAATCACGAGATACTATTTGTAGTCAATTTTGGTTTTTTAAAAGATGTCCAAAAAACAACCCATAAAAATTAAAGCAGACTCGTCAGCTTTTCTGTCAATGGCTGTCGATGATCGGTGATATTTTAGATAAGCAACCGACAAATATATTAGTTTGCACATTGAACTTCCTAACTGATCCTTCATTCCCATAAAGTTGATAGTCCCATAAAGTGGCTACATAAATAGACTCAAGGAAATGGTTTCCTCTTTGTCTGTTCTATTTCTAGCAGATACAGCAATGCAAGTTTTCAAAATATCCTTTGTTTTGACATTTTGAAAATTTAGCTTATTTTTTGCAAGTTTTATGTTTCTATTTCTTTTCTTTTTTTTCTCTTTTTTTACCAATTTTCAAGATCAATTTAGAGGGAAGCATTAAATGTGGACGACTCAATGCTTCAATATCTTTCATTTTGTTGTTTTTGTTGTTGTTTACTCATTTGTCTTTCGTCACTTGGAGCATACTGCTAGTAACCGCCATTCATCAGAGTCACATTAGCTCATAACAGCTAATAAGGCAGGGTGCCCGAAAAAAATTTGAGAAACAGCAAATCTAAAATCTGAAGTAAGAGGGAGCATGTGCTGCTGACTATACAAATCTACTCCAATTTTTTTGATCTTACCTGAGAAGTCCTGGTAATTTAGAGGACTTATTTGTATTGGTGTTCACGCGCCAAGAGTACACAATATCTCCTTGGGTGTTGAATGAAATACCTTGAGGGTTTGCTTTATCGGCTGGTCTAGTGGCATCTTTAAAGTTGTGATGGTACAAAGTGCAATCCTATGGAAGAAACCAGAAGAAAGAATCTTTTAAAGAATCTTAATAATTACAATATAAATATATGGTGAAACTCACAAAACCACACATCTCATTAACAGGGTTTCAAAATCTCTACTCTTATTTCATTTATAAATGAGAAAAACTCAAAATCATTCTTTGAAGTTTTCACAGAATTTCCTCATCAAAGAGAGTGAAATAACGGCATTTGTTAAGAATTGCCGTCGAGTAGTTCTTCATTTAAAAAATAAATGATGACAAGAAGTCTGCAACGCTGCAAATCAAGATACATTATTTGAAAGTTTCAAATTCAATACGATTTTTGAATAGAGAAAAAAAGGTAGATTTTGAGGACGAAATTTCAAGTGAATGGCTGAGTATTTTTGAATACTTGAATTCTTCTGGAAGAATTCACTATCATCAATGATTAGATTTGCACTTTCCGGTTTTAACGCAAAGTGCAAATTATTTTTGTTACATTTTTTGTAATCATTTAGCATAGGTATGTAGAAAAGTAGCAATAACTATGCATCAGCTTTAACGAAACACATTGATAAGGCAATCAAAAATGACTTTCAGGAAGATACAATATTATTGAAATAAAAAATATGTCAAAACAGTTATAAGAAAGTTTCATGGATCCAAATTCTTTTGATGATCTTCCATTCCAGTCTTTTGAACAGAGATGCCACAGAGTTTAGAAAATGAAAATCCCTGACATTCCCTTGACACATTTTGGTGAAATTCCCTCACAACTGAAGATATTACAGGTGGTTAAGAAGACATAATTGAAAATGGTTTTCAGTGTTTTTAGGCAAAATTTGTTGTTCAAAACCTTAAAGCCTTAAACCCATTCTAGAAAACAAATAGAGGTGATTTAAAAAATTTTCCCTGACATTACCAGGTTTTCCCTGACTTTTTAAAATTCCCTGACATTTCTCGGTTTTCCTGGTATTCCCTGACTGGAGTAACCCTGTTTGAATCAAGTCAGCTTTTCTGTGACAGCTTTAACTACATTAACCCTTACCACTTATGAGTCGGATGTGGTCCGACATTTTTATTTTCCCGTTCCGATCATGTGTCGGGCCTGATTCTACAAACCTGTTCACCTCGCGTAAGCTCATGTGTCGGACGTAGTTTGCCGCCTCTGTCTTGTGCAGCGATCTATCGGATGTTTGGAGAACTACGTCCACAGCTGTCAACAACTGCATCATCGCAATGTTTTGCGCTAAATTGCGCCTAACCTCTCTTGTGTTTTCGGTGTTATCGGCCCTCCAAACTGTCATTTTAAATATGATCTGGGGGAGAGGTTAGGTGAATTTAATTGATGAGTGGTAAGGGTTAAAAGAGTGATATTAGAAAAATTTCACAAATAATTACTCTGCTAGTGGAGAGGAAAATTTGTGGATCGCCTCGCCATGCAATGCCAGTTGCTACGTCTTTATGTTGGTCAAAAGAAGCGAAGGGGACATAGGGACGCCGAATGTCCCAGACATTGATGCTGCAATCAACAACAAGAGCGCAGGATGCAATATGATATTTCCTCTGCGGCCTCCATTTTATTCGACCTACTGATGCAATGGTGTTGATGATGTGCTCTAAAGATGGTTTGGCAGTACTCAAGTCCCAAACCTAAAACACAAATTTAAAAAGAAAAAAAAGTTGAAACCATATGTTATTTGACACTTGAGGACTTATATGTAGGAATAGCGGATGTCGAGTTCTCACATCGTGAGAAAATCGCGTTGGAAGTTTTCGAAGCTTTGCACTAAGCCGCCCGTAGAACTGAGAGGATTCTTATAAAGATTTTCATGAAGAGCAACTCTTCCTTTAAAAAACACACGTTTTACGATCTATTTAAGTGAAGAATTGAAAGAGTAACAGCGATTTGAAAAAAATGTGACATCCGCTATTTTTACTGAAAACATTTTTTCATGCATGAAACAAAGTCTTCAGGAAGGGTAAGGCTGGTGAAACGATTGAAATGTACCAAAAGTAAGTCAATGCTGAGTTTTTAATAAAGTTGAAAAAAAAACTAGACCGTTTGTAACTTCTATAACAAAAATAAGGAAAAAATTATAAAATCAGTCAAAAAATCAACAATTCTGGCGAGACGGTCCCGATACGTATCATTTGAGTTTAGCTGCAGCCCATGGCCGGTACGCTAGCAGTTATCGCAAGTTCTTTCGAATCTCCACGGTGTCCTGCCGCCCCGGCCGCGGAGAACAGTGGATTCTCACATCCGCTGTTTTTACAAATAACATGATTTTCAGTTCATATCTCGCTGAAAAATTGCGCTGGAAGTCTGAAACTTTGCACAGGCATTTTTGAGGGCTTCAGAATTAGAAAGAAGCAATTGCCCTAAAAATGGTGGATGTCAGTGACCGCTATTTTTTTGTTACATATAAGTCTTCACTTATGATCAGAGACAAATTTTCTTGAGACTGCATACCCAGGCATTTCCCCCAGATTCCCAAATCACGCACCAACAAAATGGTTCTAAGTCTCATGGCATCCACAAGTACAAATGTGTAGAACCGCCTGTGATCAGAGGAACAACCTCATACTTCAAATACCCTTGTTTGCCAAGTTTAATGCTTGGAGCAAATGTAATAAAGTGCCTTGTTTTCAAGATGAATCATACTAACATCCACAAGACGGAAACTGATTGGAATGGCTGTATTTACAGTTCAGCAGCCTGATCGTTGAAATTTTGTATTTGTCTACTGAACACAGAAAGACTAAGGGGTAATGGAGCTATGTGATTGGTCAGTCTTGTGCATCACCATCGCGGATACCACTTTCTTGTGCCCATATATAAACGAACAAAACCATCAACTAGTCGATTATCCAGCATGAGAAAGGCTTGAGAAACTGAGATCCACAACACAATGCACAAGACCAACCAATTACAAAGCTCCATTATACACCTTAGTCTTGTCGTATCCGATAGACAAATAAGAAATTCCGACGATCAAGCTGCAGATAGTTGTCAGTTTTTATAGGCACTGCAAGCTGTTGGATGCAATGAGAATCATACTGTGCAGATTTTGGAGGAGAGGCATACCTTTATAGTTTTATCTCGGCTGGCTGTCGCAAGCCATGAATGCTCCGGATGCCAGTCACAGGCAAACACAGGGCCACTGTGAGCAGAAAATTGGAAAACATGGCGTTCAGGTTTACGCAGATCCCACTGCTGGACACTGCCATTCTCTGAGACTGCAGCAAAGATTGGGGTTGAGTGAGGACAGAACTGCACATCTCGAACACTTTCTGTATTACTGAAACACAGTGAACGGAATATGAATATTAGGATTTTGAGCAAAACATAAAAAATTAAGTACGACACTACAGTAATCACTACACATCTATATATAATGAGCCAGTAGACAAGGTTTGAGTTGGGAAAGATGCAACATGTTTCCTCTTCAAAATTTGACGTAGAAAACGATCCTTGCAACAGGAAGATCGGAATTTGCCTCCAGAATGAGGTATTAGCAAATATTTTTTACACAGATCAAATGGAAGTCAAACAATGCAAATTATGCCAATTGTATTTTTGCCATTCAAATAATATTAATTTTGAACGCGAATATGTATTTTGTTAAGGAGTTGATTTCCGAACTTCCTGTCGTACAGTTTGTTTTCTTGTGAAATTTTGAAAAGAAAACATGCTATGCAGTGCTTTGATTCATACCTTGTCTAGAAGCCCATTCCAATTAACTCCCTAGGCACTTTTCATGGGGTTTCCATAATTTCTTCATTACCCACTTCCTTGACTTTTCCTCAACTCTAAAATTTCCAAATTCCAAGACTTTTCCCTCACCTTCGATCAAACCCTCCGCCAAGAGTTTTTATCTTTTAATGGACCACTAGACAGGGTATGAAATTCAGCATTCTGATACATGTTTCTCAGCCAAAATTTTACGTAGAGCACGATGCGTACAATAAAAATTACCGAAATTGACTCCTTACGAAGATATTTAATGATTCTTGATGCGTGAATTCAAACCACCCGCTCATGAAAACTCAATACTCTACGTGATTCATATCGCGCGCTAAACGTTATCATGACAGTCTCTGCGATGTAAAAATCTGGCAACCTCAATCTTGACGCTTTGGTCCAGCTATAGCAAATTACTTATAGTTTGAACAACACACGGTGGGAAATGAACATTGCTCATTTGAGAAGCTTGCTGAAACCGTTGTTGTGCTCGATTTGACTCACGTAGAGCTTTGAGTTCCTTGTCAGCGGGCAGTTCAAATTCCTCTTAACCAATGTGAAATAAAAACGTTAATATCTTCGTTAGGAGTTGGTTTCAGTGATTTTCGTTTTGTGAATCGTGTTCTACGTGAAATTCTGGTTAAGAAACTAGTATTGGATTACTTAAATTCGTACGTTGTCTAGTGGTCCATTGCGCTGACTTTTGCTTAGCTACAGACAGAATCTCCACTTCCAGAAATTTGAATTCCAACGTGCTACTCTCAAAATTCTCTGACTTTGTCCATGCATTCCCGACTTTTCCAGGTCAATATAAATTCCCTAAAATCCCCCATGGATTCCCTGATTTGTCAGATTCTTCAGACCACTAGAAACCCTAGGTAATATTGCAAACTGGCAAAAGATGTAAATTTTACATCTAAAATGTATGTGATATTTGAGGGTCTTTATTTTCTGTTTAATGAGTAATTTTCCAAAACCAACTAATATGTGTCAGCTCAGCTTTGATCTCCACTCAAGGTCATGGATTTCATGAAACAGAGAAAAAAGAAAGTACGTACTTATTCTACGAGATGACCCTTGAGAACTAAAGAACCTGCTGTTTTTAAATAATACACCGTTGAATCAGGCTGGAAACTTCAATGGGTAGGAGTGAGATAGCTTTCTGTATGTAAAATAGAGGACCTGAGTCAATTAGGTTTTCACACAGATAGAACATAAAGTTATAATGATTATTAAGAAATAATGGATTTTTGAGATATAAAAAAAACCACGGATAAAATGGTCACCTGTAAAAGGTGCGAATGGCTTCTTTGACTCGCAAATCAAAACATTTCATGGTTCCATCTTGAGAACCAGAGATGAGCCATGATGGTTCAATTGCATGGAAGTTGACTTTGTTCACCGTCCTCTTGTGATCAGAGAATACATGATCTTGTTTGGAGCGCGAGGGTCGGTTTAAATTCCACACGACAACAGCGCCATTGGTGGCTGCAGTGGCCAGAATGTTATCTAAAATCCATTTCATAAACGTAAACAATTAAAAGAGAACATGGCATTAAAATCATTGCTCAGATCAGCATTTGAGAGGAACACACATTGCTTCATTTCCTTGCTTCTTTTATTTTTTTAAAAGAAAACTAGGCAACATTCAGTTTTGAGCGTATATTCTAAATGGATAATGTAGAAATCAAATAAAATTTTAAGGCATTGCGTTGCTTCAATATTTTACAAAAAAATAAAATATGACAAGAAAGGAAATGTAAAATGGACATATTTCTGCCAAACAGAACTATGTGCATTAAGACATGAGCCCTGACAACCATAAGAATAAATGCATAACAGAGCTCACGTCATAATGCACATAGTTCTGCTTGGCAGAAATACGTCCAAATACAGTTTGGCTGAAATCTGTCCAATTAATTCTCTATAAAAAGACTAAAAGGCATGGAATAAAAAATACAGCTAAACTGTTGACAGGACTGACTTGGTCCCACTATAAAGAAATGGCAAAGCTTGAAAAATTTTATATTCATTAATCTTCTTTGTTACTTTTTCTCTTTGAACTACTTATTGATTTTTAAGCTGAAGTTGGAGCGGAAGGAATTTTATAATTTTTATAAAAAATATTTAAATTTTTTGAGAATATGCCATTTACATCCAATGCTCTAAAAAACTACATTTCAACCGTGACTGTAGAGAAACCTGCATGTGATGCAAATTGATAAGCAGTAACATCATCGATTCAGGAGAATCCGCCTCTTCCCAGTGGGTCCACACTGCGTTCCATCACATTTGAGCAGTCTATTAGTGACTTTGCCTTGGAAAAAATTACATAAATCCTACTAATATAGAGCAACTTTTGGATGATGAAGATTTAAGAGAAAAATACGCACCTTCAAGGGTATTCCACGCTACATCATTGCATGAAAAATTCAGGTTCAGATTTTTCCCCACTCTTAAGTTACAGCTTTCAACGAATTCATTTTCTTCGATCGAAAAAACCTTGAAAACTGAAAAAGGGGAAAAAAACAATTAAGTCATAGAATTACTGAGGAGTAGTAAGCAGTAATATATTTAAGAAAATCAGTCAAATAAACACATCATTGGCCTTAGCTTAAGAATTTTAGGATTGAATACTTTGTGCTAAGATACATCCTGTACAATGTCCTATTAACATTCCAAAATTACCTAGTCAAAGAAGATGGAACAAAAAAAGTATGGACAACCTCTAAGAAATAGCTATGTCATTGATCTAAGAGAGCCAGCCTATCTATTTTGAAGAAATTGAAGGTTTTTTTTCATAGACAGGATTAGAAGAATGAATTCAGGAATTCTAAGGAGTGAACATACAGTTGCAGTTGCCTCTTTGAGCATGATTGTAAGAGATTTTATTTGATGTATTGGCAATGTCGTATGACTTATCTTAACATATCGTAAGAATATCTTCCAAAATGAAAATGGTAAGTTGCTAGATCATCACATGGGGCTTCATAGACTGCATTCGTACTAAAATATTTACCTGCCACTGTTCATCTTGATAAAATAAATAGATTTTTTGCTCACTTCGTGTAACTTCAGAGCGAAATTTAAAACATAACTTTCATTACAGTCCTTGAACACACATAGTAATCCCTGAAAAGTGAGAAAATAATGATAGCTGTATGATCTTACCGTTCCTGCCAGCGATGACAACCTGCGAGTTGTCTTTATTCAAGGCTAGGGCATTGGCTGGCCCTTCTTGAGTGACGAACATAGTTTTGGCAGTCATTGAGACGATTTATGGTTTCAAATGGAAGGATCGGATGAGTTCAGAGGATGAAATACATGGCAAAACTGGTTTTCTGAGATGGAGGTGCTGGAACAGTCGCCAGCATGATGAATGTAGGGCGGTGTATTTTCATTTTCACATTTTTAAACGGACCGGACACCTCTTCAAATCAGCTAAATAAAGTAAACGATAAACTTTTTAAGAAACTCATGGTCTATGAAGTATTGGAGTTGAGTAACTTCGACAAATTCTGCCGATTCTGATGATTTTCTAACCTAACTGTTTGTTTATTTACAAACTTTCTCAGGATTGCAAGTTGCAAAAATCGAAAAACCAAACAATACCAGGCTGCCGTGAAAAATTGTGACTTTTTTAGGATATCGCCTCTAATAATGCTACCATAAATGAATCTACAATATTTGATCAGTGAAATAATGGAATCTAGTTCGCTTGCTTGTGATTTTCTCCCCCTCAATAACTTTTCAACATCTTTCAATATTGAATGCTTTCACTGGATTTTTTATTTTTTTTCTTCGGCACAACTGAGTTGTTACTTTGAGAAGCCAATGAGAAACCGGTATCAGCGTGCAAGTAAAGAGCTCAAAAATTTAAACAGGAGAGCGCGCAATTTAATTCAAGGCTTTTCAGTGCTCATGGTCGGTAAGCGTAGAGTACATACAATTGATAGAGGCGCAATGTTCTGGAGCGCCGATGAAGTCACTTTTTGAGGCTGTTTTGTCCAGTACTCCTGAGATCAGGGTGCAGCGACTGGCGATGCCGTATGCGCGGGGTCCCAGCTCCGGTCTTGGCTCAGAAAATACAGGTATAAAATTTATTTCATAAAAACCAGGAGTGTTGTACATTTTTTAATTTTTTATGACTTCGGTGAACACAGTTTGCCGAAATTCACGGAAATAATGATTGATTTAAATGAATCAATCCCGCAAACCATTCGCAGCCCGCGACTCTCCCATCAGGGCCGGATTTACCTACTTGCCGCCCGAGGGCCGCCTGTATTTTGCCGCCCCCTTCTCATTCGTTTTGAAACATCAATAAAAACCATCAAATGAACGTGCCAGCGGGGGAGGGGTGCATAAGACGCGTTTACTTGTGTTGAACACATTTTTTGGGGAAGCCCTGTCAACACTACCAGCAAAAGTTCACGGAACTTTGCGCGAAAGTTCTCGTAAACCTATCTCTGTGTGGACAAGGCCTTCCATTCATAAGAAATGAACGAGAAAATTATGAAAGAACAAACATAAATGTGGATTAATGATTTCAACTTCCGCCGCCGCGCCGCGCAGACCGAACCGTGTTTGGCGCAATGCGTGAAGTATTCCGACAGTCTTGTAGGCGCTCTGAGTTTCACGCCAACCGCTGCTGAACGCACAGTGACGCAATGCGAGAAGTATTCACGCTGTCTTGTAGGCGCTATGCGTTTCACGCTGATCGCACTGTGTTTGCCGCAATGCGTAAAGTATTTGTGCAGTCATGTAGGGGCTAATATGTGTTACATGCCGATCGCCACACCTAGGGCTTTCCCTTTTCATCTCATATAAGTCCTCGACATCTTCTCTCTCTAAGTCCAGGCCAAATTGCGTATTTGCTTTCTTTCTAAACTCGACTAATTAAAGGTGTTGTCTCTTGTATCACTGAAGACGACAAAAGTAGAAATTACTATACTCTCAGAAAATTAGAGATTTTGTCACCTTTTCTCGTTTGTAATTTTTTTTTTCTAAATTCGAATTTTCTATACCTACATTTAAAAAAATTTCAAAATTTGCCGCCCCCTATAGATTTGCCGCCATGGGCCGCGGCCCATGTAGCCACCCCCTTAATCCGGCCCTGTCTCCCATAGGCCCTAGTTTTAAAAAATGCCAAACGGTTCCCAGATGGTTCCCACTTTCCGGCGAACATCTTTCATTATCATCCTTTCATCTTTCTAAATTTCAGATCTTGTTTTAAACAGACAGCTTTTAAATGAAGGCGTCAAGCAGTTGGGATGTCCGGTAAAATATCATGTAATAGCAATTTCATTTCGTTATACTGTAAATTACTTAAATATTTTCAAAGTTCATGAAAGAAAAGTCTTGCCTTAAGTTTTAACTTTTTATTCTATTGATTGATCTTTTCCCACTGTTTTTAAATGTAACATGCATTGTGATACCACATTATTTAGTAAATTTTGTTGTGAAGTTTGAGATATAGTGTAGAGGATGGGCTGCTAGTCCAAAACCGAAATAATTTGAGCAAAAAATAAAACCACAAGCAAATAAAGGCGAGACTTTTCTTTTATGAATTCCGTTTATGAATATCACACAAAATGCGTTACTCTGATTAAATAATTTTATTGCACTGTTCTCCACTAAGGGTATGGGAAAAGGGGGGAGGGGGATTCTTGAGCGAAAGTTGAAGGTACAGAAGGAAATTCCAGTGTCAATGGTTATCTTTTGTGTCTGGTAAAGACTATCATCGATGTTCTTACGTATTTGTCTACTTTTCTGACTCCGCGTTTAAGTCTCCAAAAATATGCACGTTCGAAAAATCGTTAGTGCGTTGAATGATTGTACCGATACCTGTTTACCCGCATGAGAGATTACGTTTGCGAATAGTTGCGTGCTCCTAAATCTACAAATAATTTAACTGGAATCTTTATAGCTTCTAAAAAGTAAAGCGTGCGCTGGAAAATTAGGCTTGTGTGAAGGGACTTTTCGACTTAGCATTCTACATCTACACTCACATGATTTATTGGATAGTTTATGATTATTTAGGAATTTAAAACTACCGAAGAGGGGCTTCAACTATTCTAACCGCTTTTTCAAAAATTCCGCAACAAAGAAATACCTACGCTTTTCGTAGTTGAGTACTCTTGGCCGAATAGTCACAGATCACTACAATCTCTAGAAGTTCCTTCATTTTGTCGGGTATGCACTCCCGACATCAGGATTCTAAAATAATGTATCGAGATAATAGCGGACTTCTGACGCAGGTCAAAGGGACGAGCTGTGAGGCACCCTTACTTCAGCTACTCGGCTGCCGATCATTCTAGGCTCCTTCATCTCGTTGAATATGCAATTTGATTTGCGGGGAGTTACAATATTTGCCCCAAGTCCAGGTGAACATCCACTGCCACCGACCTTTTCGGGTAAGGAGGGGCAATTGTCCGTCTTTCAATTGATGAGGGACTCTAGATTTTTATTACGATATGTTTAATTCGATCAAACTCAGATTTCATCGATGACACTGGAAGCCCACGGATTGGCCATTGGTGTGATTTAGGGTCATTGATGACAATTCAGTTTGTCCGTTATTGACAGTGTACGAGGGCCTCGCAGGTGCCCCCCCCCCTCCCTCCCCCCACCACAGTGCATTGCAATAGTGGAGGCTGTCCGTTTCTGTTCGAAAGTACTTCAGATGTGAGAACTGAAGTTTCAGATGTGTGATCCAAACCTCAGCAGCTGGACCTAAAGTGTTCAGATGCTCAATTCGAAAACTTCAGAGATCCACATGACCTAAGCTTCGGGTTCAACGCACGAAGCTGTTTTCTCCGTGGCAGGACGGCAAAGAATATTTTGATAGCTGAAGTCGAAAAACGCGTATCTCCGATTACGACTTTGCAAGTTTCCGCTCATATGTTATTCGGTTGATAGAAATTTGACAGTCATCCTTAAAATTGTCTGCGAATTTTCTTTAGTCATTCGACGATTTCAACATATGTCTGCTCCTCCAAAGGATGTTTCGGTTCATCTTCTCCTGAAGATAGAAAATATAATCGGAGTTTTTTAAACGTTACAACGAAGATGCGATTTTTTTTTTTTTACTTTACTTTAGTCCATTAACTTGTATGATATTTTGAATCCGGCTGTAATACAAGCTGACAACAAGTGAGACTACAAGTGTAGAATGAACGTAAAAATAACATATGATCTTTTAGTTTTGGGCGGGCGCCAAGACTTTGAAAAGAATACATTTTTGTCTCGACGTTTCAGGTTTCAGTCCTTCAGACATCTTCGAGAAAATGATCTTAATGAAGGATGAGGAGAATAGTGTCGAAAAGCATTCCTGATCGAAACAGGTTGAAAACTTTAATTCTATTATGTTGCGAAGCATTGAAGGTGCGATGCAAGCATAGCAATGTCTGGAGACTTTAACGCAGGGTAAAAGAGTAGAAAAGTTAAACATGGCCGCCTGTCGTTTATACCGAGTTTAACCAAATCAGGAAATTTCTCTCCTTCTTTCAGTCTTCCTCATTTTCACCCCCCCCCCTCTAACCCTCCTCCTCACCACCAGCCCCCGTCCCCCGTCTCCCATCCGGAGTAGCACAGTGCAACCAAAAATTGAAATAACTTTGCAATTTAATGCAGTAAAGTGTAATTGGGAACGCTAGGGAGCACTGAGAAAAAAAATTAGTAAGATATTGTTTCGACTTAAAGCGTCGTTTCTTGACGATAAAATGTAGTTTTTGTTTTTTTTTTCAAAAAAGTTAAATCCGTGCGGATTTGACCTAAAGTCAGTATTATTGAGTTGAAGAAACGTTGTTCTGTTATCGCCTTTTAACTTAAACGTATTGATAACAAAACAACGTTTCTTTTACTCATAAAACCAAATTTTGTTTACAAGAAATGACGCTTTAAGTTAAAACAATATCTCAATAAAAATTTTTGTCAGCGAATGCTTTTAAGCAACGAGGGTGTATTGAGATGGTTCCTACTTGCGGAAATCGGGTGGTTTAAATGGACAAAGAAGGTAGCAGTAGACTATCTAACGGCAACTCTCAAGAGACCCCGTAGTTAGTCCATCATTTCACCCTCAGTCTACGACAATCACCCGTTTTAAGCAATAGGGTCAGTCCATTTTCCCTTTGTCTCCTTTGTCAGTAGATTTATGTATCGATTTCAACAATGAGCCTGTTGTTCGGTGGTACATTGATCTTGCATATCTCCAGGGTGACAGTATCATCATGCCGTTGGGAGCTATCATTCTGAAAGCTAATTTTTTTCACGGAAAAAAATTGAATGTTGATTTCAGCATTTATACTGTTAAAAAAAAGTGCGATAAGTATCAAATGCTGATTTCACTTTAAAAAAAAATGCTAACTCAACATTGAATTTGTTTATTTAACCATGGGCGTAGATAACCTAGCATGTTTTTATTGTAAAATCAGCATTTATACCTGTCATATATTTTTTTAACATTATAAATGCTAAAGCAACTTTCAATTTTCTTCCGTGCACATTGCAAAATCTAGTTTCGATTTACGGCGTTC